TACAATCTGCCATATGACATTTGAGCGCTGCTCAGACATAGAAGAAAACAGCAGTATATGTTCTAACACTTCTACAACTCGCGTCCCTTCATCTTGACTCTGAAATTGCCATAAATATGATTACTAAAGTGTGGATTACGCGACAAACATGCAAATTACAGACCGACTGGGAGAAAGCACACTCCCCAATGCTGAACTACATTCCATACGGTTATAAAACATGACTGAAATATTACAAGGTATTTTTTATAAAGGCACATCACTTTAAGGTATTTATTTCAGTTCAAATGTCGTAGATCCAGAAAATGTTTTATTTTCTGGGTAGGCAGAGATAATCCTTTAATAAAAAGAATCCAACTACAATGAATACTGCCCAGCATTTTTCTTTACTTAACCATATTTAACTTTTTCACGTTTATGTTGGCTATTACTTTTCTTCTAAATGTTAAAATACCCTTCAACAAGTTTAATTTTATTCATTCTGGTCCTTCACACTAGCCAATACTATAGAATGAATTGAATACACCGTCCAGGGTGTATGCAAAAGGCATATATACTTTTGAGTCACACTGGACGGTGTAGTAAAATCATCCTATAGTTAAAATAACCTCCTCGTGATGATAATCGAGGAGCTATTTCAAGGAAGTAGCGGCTTCGGTCTAGCAAACCGAAATTAACGGCCGTGGGGATTCGTTTCGCTGATCACGCTACACCCTCTATCCGCTAAAGTTGGCACTAACTCCGCCGACAAGAGGCGGTCACTCGGTTGGTATAGTTGGCTTGCAGACTAAAACCACGTAGTTTTCATATAAAATCAACTGCCATGAACCTTATATGTAACCAACGCTGCAAACGACATCAAAAGATTCCCTGTAAATCCCCATTTCCTATCACTATGGCTTTGTTTCTCACATTTAACACACCGCGCTTAACTTTGACGGCAGTGGACTGTTGTTACCCTAAAAACTGGCATCTGCTCAAGGCCTTACCTCATTTATCATTAGCATTGCGAAATCATTTCAGTTCCCCCGGTACCTTGATGTTCATACAGTTCTTGCCGCATTCGAACTGGTACCATGAACTACAAGTGTTCGTGACATACGTATACTATCAAATGGAGATTTAAAATCCCACGAATATATGCATCCGGTTGTCCCATATGCAACAGGGTCTTTGAATTGTGTTCTGACGTTACTTCGCAACGGACGCGCTATGTCCTTGAAAGGTGGTCGCATTATGATCGTTATTACTCTAGTAAATATTTTGTAATCACCATGGAACAGCGTTATTGGTCGTCGGTTTCCTACACTCTTCGGTGATCCGAATTTGGAATGGATACAATGATCTTCTGCCAGAAGCTTCATTCTTGGACTATCGAATTACGTGTTTGAAGAAAGTCATGTCTATTGATTTAGCAATTATTTTTGTATTCTTTTCATCCATGGCATTCTGTTATTTTAACAGCCTGTAAATTCATCCATAAATTACTAAATCTCTCCATTAATTTTGTTGTATGTTTATTACGGTCGTATTTTATAAGGAAAAACCGTATGTTTCTTCGGAAATGACACAATCACGTGAACATTCGACATATTAATGATACGTTTCTCTGACCATTGATTCCGTTCTACTATTAACCTTTGACTTGGACTTTGTCCATCATCCGGTATTCTAAAGAACATAACGTTTCGGAAACTTATCCAGGTTCTTAAACGTTGTGTTCTTTAGAATGATGATGAAGTCCAAAACCCAGTAATGTGTGACTTTATAAGTTTGGATTTGCACTGTGTGTACATTGTTTATTGTATGTACTTTGTTTTGTATTGTTCCTTTTATGTTATAGACTTTCCTTGTCTGTATCAGTGTAAGCTCTACTGCAACCGGGTTAACACCAAACTGCAGTAAAATAATAATAGTAATCCTGAGTATATTTGTATGCCACTAGCGTCTGTTCGCACATTGTCGTAATGCCTTACGGTTTTATAATTTCTCTATTGATGTCAATTCGATACCGTCATTAGTTAACATTATTGCACCCTGGTGTTCTGTTCCGGTACTTGTGTGTGCTGTATACCCTGACATGAACTGAAAGTGCTCGTAAAGTATATCGAGGAATACAATATATATGTTATTACACTGTGCTACAAGCCGGAAGGTCGCGGGTTCAAGTACCGATGAGGTCATTGGATTTTTTTTTTTCAATTGACCTAATCCTTCCAGCCGCACTATGGCCTTGGGGTCGACTCAGCCTCTAACAGAAATGTGTACCAGGAATTAATTAAATAATTTTCCTGGGGAGTAAAGCGCTGCGGGCGCGTAAGGATGACAACTTTACCGCCATCTATGAGCCGACTGTCCTGATAATGTGGGACCCTCAACGTCTCACAACCCTATGGGCCTTCACGGCCTGTTACAGCGATACCTTTTTTTTTTCTTTTTTACTGCACTGCATTCTTCAGTACGTTGTTTTGTTCTCGAGCGTATCCCGCCGATTTCCAGAGTTTGCTACTGTAAAAGTGTAACCGGTTTATTTAGTGTTACGCCTCCACGGCACTGGCTGACGTGTGTCATTTCCCGGTCCCACTTCTTCTCCCTGTGCGTGTTTCGACGTGACACCCTCTACACGCTAAAGTTGGCACTAACTTCGTCGACAAGTGGCGGTCGCTCGGTCGGTATAGTTCGCTTGCGGACTGAAACCACGGAGTTTGTTTGTTTTTGTTTTGATGTCATACGCTGGGTCTCCTCCTCTCTGCCTTCCCTGTTCTTTCGGCAATACATATTTCCGAAGTTCTGGTGTGACGGCGTGGGTGGAATTATCTGTTCTCGTGCTGCTTATCTATTGTTATTCATTTTTGGCACATTTGCTTTTAAATTACCACCGCAAGGGTGGAATCGTGTGAAGTCTGCCTGTCACCGACTTCCACATTGTTTTTAGACTTCCCCTTTCTCTGCGTTTCCGGTATTTGTTTTATTTAAGTTTTCTCGTTGGTTTCTACGCTGGTTTTTGAGCTTCTTGGGGTTTATGTTGTAGCCACTCCGTTAAGCATTGGTCTTTCGTGATTTTGTTATTGGAGATTACACTTAGTGTCGAGTCATGAGTTTCAACGTTATCACTGGGCATTCTCTGGTTCCCCTTCAGCTCTTCTGATTAGCATTTCCACGTACTTACACCAGCACCAGACACGTCTCGCCGTGGATCCTGTTTGTTCCTTTTCTGTGTCATTCTTTAGTGTAGCCTGTGCACACAATAGATTGCTTCGTTTTGGATACATTTTGTGTCTGTTCTCATAGGACAATCCTGGACCATATGTTCAATGGAATTACATGTAATTAGATACTTGTGTAATGTGCAGAAGCTCTATACCAGTAAAACGAACAGACATACATATCTCTCTGATATCGATATGGAAATCCATACTAAACGACATCCTAATTATAATACTTAGGTTAGATGAAAATTTCAACCGTCTTCTACCCTTTCTAAAAACATTTCCAGTGTCCATGTCAAATAAAAGATGCGCGTCTTGCAATTACAATGCCTAATGACGTTTCCATGTTACATAATTTATGTTAGAATTTAGAATACTTCCGCATGTTTCGCGACTCCAAGAGCACTACCACTAGGAAATGAATTTTATTACTTTTAAGAATGAGTAAACACGTTTTATTTTCAAAAGGCAACGACATGGACATGAACGCAGAAATCTACAATTACAGACTGTGCTGTAATCTATTTGCTGATCTAAACGCTCAAATCAATATTCCTTGCACTTTTGTGTTCAACATTAGGCCCATCATACATATAAATCGGCTGTTTTATAAAGATACTTATAAGACCAATGTAGACATAAATGATTTGAACGGACATAAGTTAAAGTATTCGTATTTCTGGAGCCCGGGTGGCTCGGTCAGTACAATCAGCAGATTACTGGATGAACAGTCCGGAAATCTGGGTTCCATTCCGACCAGAGTCAGATATTCTTCTCCACTGCGTCCCTGTCGGCTCTGGGACCCACTAACAAATTATCCAGTGGATATGGTGGCCTCTTGCCCCAGGGTAATGAGCCCAGACCGTGAAGGTGCCCATTCACATCCATCTAGTGTCGAAATTAAGAATGTATGGAGCTATATCTCTACTCCCCTATATGTTTTCATGGCGCAGTGCTCTCTTAACCAGAGTGACTTCACCTTCTAGGCTATACTTTTCACGCGTTTCACATTAAGGCTACTAAATCTTTCTTGCAAATCTGTCACATATCCTAAAATTTCATTAATACTAAGGCGCTTCGAACAACAATTTTCATATGCTGGGCTCTGCTGCGTCTATATATGTTCTTGGAGAGGGATACACGATTCACCGAAATAAAACGTGTAAAAGGCTGACATTGTGATCATCCTGTAGATTTTTATCCTGAAGGTAATCGGTTCGAATTTAGGCAAGAGCTAACACAGTACCTTCACACATGTCATGATAGCATTATTTTAATCTTTACCTATGCGTCACTCATGGTCATCCACTTTATCCATTCTACACTACATAGCCTGCGCAGATGAAATAGTGCTGTTAAAATAATATAAAAATCAATCTATTTTAGATTTATAGAAAATAACTGTACACATATTCAAACTACAGATCACATTAAGAATATAAAATCAAAAGTAATCTATCCATCTAAACGTATTTGTATTACACTAAACCTTCGCTAATCCGGATAGAAATCTGAAAATGCTGTTCATAGTTGAGTACGCACGTTAAAAAAAAAAGCACATGGCACTTAGGAAGGCAGATGAGTCACTTGTCTGTTCAGACAATTCTTGACAGTTTCTTCAAACCTGCATTATTACGATCAAAAACATGTACATATATAAATGTACTGTCTTTTTTACAGTTTTAAAACAAAGGCTCTACAGNACGTGAGTCTTCTATATCGATGAATAAATGTACTGTCTTTTTTACAGTTTTAAAACAAAGGCTCTACAGTGATATTTTTCTATTTATTTTCATCAGCACTACTTATATCATTAAATTTTCCATTTTTTGTGTTCTATTTTTTATCTTTTGCTTCATTAATCCTGATTATCACTTATTCCGTATGGTCTCTCCCAATTACTCCGGATTAGCGAGGTTTACTGTACTTAAATGTTTCAAAATAAAAGTTACCCTCAGTTGATACTGTTCACTGTACTGGCAATGTGATGATTTAATGACAATGATAACATGGGAGAAGTGGCCAACAGTAAGATATACACATCTCTCGTCTCGTGTTAAATCAGTTTTTTTTTAAGACCCGGCGTGGTGAGACACAAGGTGCAAGATTCAATGAAGGCAATTTTCACAACAAAGTCTCAGTTATGGATCATTACTTAATACCAGTGTTCAGTGTAATCCTTACTGACTACTTACAGTATTATAGACGTAACTGCATTCTGAAACTAACCTGAAGACGTTTCGGACATCTCGTAACAAATTATAACTTAGGTCTATCTGATCATACAAAATAGAGGCAAGTTCTGATGAGGTTGGAACGAAGTTGGTAAACATATAGTACATGGTATTTAGTTAAAATACTTATATTTTAAGCCCTGTTTGTAATTAATTTGAGAAGGAATATCTTAAATAATTAGAAAGTATAGACGCATTAGTATGTATGCAGGATCTCAAAACCCAAAATTTCCAGAATAATTTAATTTACAAAACCTTAAGTTTTATGCTATCGGAAACTGGTTTAGGAGCAAGAAATGGTATTTTGATGTTATAATTATTTGCATATTTATAATAAAATTGAAAGATATAAAGACAATTCGGCATATTGACACAACACAAATTATTACGTCGCACTCTGACATGGTCTGGAGGAAATATTTTCCTGTCGTCTTTAAGTTACATTTAATTTTAATTAACTTATATTTTTTAACATACAGCTTAAACCTTAAAAAAACGAAATTAAAATTACGTAAGTATAAATAAGTACTCTATAAAAGAATAAATCACTATACTTTTCAAGATACGTATTACAATACGTTCTTCATTAGGAGTATCATTATATTACAAAAAAAAATGAGTAGCGACGTCCACCAAGATCAGTGTCACTTTACAGTTCCAAAACACAATGGACGATATGCCTCACAGAACCAGCGTTTTAATTAGCTACATTTCACAGCAAATTTCTTTCAATATTGTCGTTACACTCTTGTATTGTGACGACTTCTGCTCATTTACATGACTTGTTGCTGTCATACCGGTAAAAGAGAAAACTGTTTATCATCATTCAACAAACAACGCACTGTTTAAGTTATCATTAGCATTCCACAATGCCCTCATGCGTCTACAGCTTCCATGCTCCTGAGGAACCCAATATGTTTAACAATGAATAAAGCAGAAGGTAAACTTCAGTTCTTTTTGTTTCGTTTCTGTTTATGAAGACCATGCACGTTTCTGTCATAACTATACATATGCTTCAACGCGCCTTCCACGAATCTTGTGAAAGAATTCCTTCCAGCTTGTAAAAGTCTTACCGGACCATATCCAGAAGCTAGACGTGATGCCAACAATAAGTGCCATAAGGTACTTTATCATGAAGACCTCGAAATATGGTTTCTTACCAAGGTCCCTACTTCTTTCCCCGACAGGGCAGGGTATTGAATAGATATTAAGATGACCAGGTCGAGAGCAGATCTCCATGTTCCAGGTCAGCATCCAGTGGTCGAAGTAGGCTTGCTCGTAGAAGAGGCAGGCCAGGACAATGAGGGCAGGCACGGTATACAGTACCGAGAAAACCCCGATACGTATCATCAACTTCTCAAGCTTATCGGTCTTGGTGCCATCGTGTTTCATAACTGTGCGGATTCTGAACAGAGACACGAACCCGGCCAGCAGGAACACAGTGCCCAGCACCAGATACACGAACAGGGGAGCCAGGACGAAACCACGCAGCGCGTCCACGTCCCACAGACCGACGTTGCACACACCGCTCAAGATGTCACCTGCAACAACAACAAAACAAGTTGCTTTTAACGTTCATTTATTCATCAACGGCACTACAACCCATTGTTGGGTTCTGACCTCTTCTTCAATTTCGTAATCTTTTTTAAACAGTCGACAGGACTCCTTGGACGGGGGATCAGCTCGTCGCAAGGCCGCTACCTATACACAAGATAACACAAACAGAATAAACGCACACACAGACATCCATGCCTTGAGTGGGATTCGAACCCACGATTCCAGCGTTAGAGCGAGCGAAGACAGTTCATGTCTTAGACCGCGCGGCCACCGTCATCGGCGGTTTTAGCGTTACTTACGTAAAATTCATAAACAATTTCTACGAACCGAAGACCCACTAACGTTAGTACCGTAAAGAGCTACAGGACACGACTGTAAGGCAGTTGCATTCACCGTTAGTCACCACAGCCCGGGCCCTTACTAATATATTCATAAAGATTCATCTTACATTATCCTCCAGTTATATCCTCAACCTTTAAAATGGGCCTTTCCTCACCAAAATTCTATATGCAATTCTCGTTTCTTTCAATCCTGGCATATCGTAAACTCCTACGCTTCACCGCCCCAACAACAGCATGTGATCTTTATAATCGACGATTTCCTCATTCTATAATATCAGTAACAGCTCACTTACTTCATCCTTCTTAGGACCAAATATTTCCTGAGTAGTCTCAAACGGTTGTAGTTTACAAGATTTGAGGGTTCGCTTAGTAGGGGGTGGAGTCCAGCTGGGTCCACTCGGCACGGCGGCCACTGATTGGCCTATTGTACCTGCCCCGGGTGATTATGATGATGATGGAGAATTTGGTGGAATAAAGACTGGCAGGGGAAACCGAAGTACTCGGAGAAAATCCGCCCCAGCGCCACTTTGTCCACCACAAATCCTACTTGACCAGACCCGGGATCGAACCTGGGCCGCCGCGATGGGAAGCCAGCGACTAACCGCTTGAGCTATGGCGCGGCCAGATGAAGATAAACAAAGTGGTCCTCCGACTTATGACACTGCGCGGCGCGGAGCGATACCAGTTTCGGAGTAACTAATCCTTCCATCTTGAGATTACAGCGAACAAGTCCACTCTGAAGATGCAATAACGGAAACATTAGTAACACCTATGAAACTACACGGTACATAACCCAGACGACAACAAACCTAAGATCTTATATTCAACGTAGAGGCGAACATTATTACCCTGACGATGACTGGTAATTGCCCACGAGTCTACACGGTGTCAAAACTCACATCACATTGTTAACCTCAAAGTGAGAGACCAAGTTTCATACATACATTCAGTTATTCAGTATAGAGGGGGTGGGTTTCCCCATGCACCGCGACTAATAGTCTGTTGTACGTCCCCCTTTAATTTCTACTGTCTCCATACCCTACTGATACTGGTGCCAGCTATCTCCCCTTTCTGTCAGCGAGGTCGGCCCTCTACTGGCAGTGGTACCCGATAACTTTCCCCATCCACCGGAGGTCTCCTAGAGACATGAGGATCTTTGACGTGCCGTAAATCTACGACACGGGACCCACGGCTTAAAGTCCCTCCCGGAGGACTTGTTCCCTGAATTTTTCCGCCCTTTAAAATTCCACGACCTCCGCCGGGTTTGAACCCGCGTACCTTGAGTCATGAGGTGAGAACGTTACCCCTAGACTACGGAGGCCGCTTTCATACATACATACAACTCTCCAAACTTTAGTGTGTAGGCCTAAACAAGTATGGAGGAAAGAAAAGGCCCACTAGTATCTGAAGTGGAGCAAGACATATGGGACGGACATAAAAGTGAAAAAGTGCAATTGGATGCACTGCAAAAACATACGGACACACGGGTCTCTCGCTAATGTAGGTCCAGATGAAATGAAGTACCTTGGGCCATTAACAGAACCGAGTGACACGCGACCATGACTAACATCCTGAGTAGACAGCGCTGGCGTGATTGTGGTAATTACTTGCGACTGCCTGAGATGATGGCACTGCACTGTGAAGGAGCGGGCATACGTACAAACCGACTACAAGAAAGGCTTATGACATTCCAATAACTGATTTATATGATTAAAAACAGATTAATAAAGTAACTGGGGATGAAAATTACCACTAAAAGTGGGACTACAGTAAAAAGGACGAAGAATTCGAACTACAACCCACTTTCAGAGGGAGAGCTCTACTTTTTCTTAACATCTGGTAATAGATGGAGTTGAACGATTAGTCACGCTCCGGTCGTTTCACCCCCGTGGCCAACGGGAAAGAGCCCCTGGCACCCGTTGCATAGGATGCTTGAGTGGGCCTCAGAGGCGATCTTGACTCGGTAGCGAAAAGCGTCCGTCACAGCACGGAGTCGAACCTAGGTTCTGCTGTAGTACAGGCGGTAGACTAATCACTATACTAACCGACTTAACCGGCTCAAACGCCTATAGTAAAACTAAATGAAAACTAAACGAGATATTCCAGGACGAACGTACACGTATAATCTCTGTTTCTCGTCTCTACACTGCTACATGTATATACGAGCATACGATTTTTTTCCCCCTTGGCACTACAGCCCCAGTGGGCCCAGGCCTTCCTCCATGAACTTCTCCGTTCACTTCGGTTTTTCTAGATCTTACACATTCGATAGGACTCCTTGGGCGGGTGATCAGCTCGTCGCAAGGCCTCTACCTTAACACAAACACAGAAAAACGCATACAAACATCAATGCCCTGAGCGGGATTCGAACCCACGATCCCGGCTTCCGTGCGAGCGAAGACAGTGCATGCCTTAGACCGCTCGGCTACCGTGACCGGCACGAGCATATGAGAGGCACATATTCTTAAGTTTACATGTACTGTGCATAGCGAATTGCAAGCAGCAGCAGACGGAAATGAATATTTGCACCAGCAAGTGGACGGCCGAAACAAACGGTACGGCAATTTCCGAGCTACAACAGCCTGCTTAGCTGCCCCCCTCATTATACCAGCAGAATCTCGTATACATTTCATCACGACCAACACTTGTCTCAGTCATAACGGTGGTGATGCATACTGCGTGAAACAACTAACAGGATGACAGATGTCCTCGATTATCGCTGGTTTTTATGATTTTCTTGTCGCCTCTTAACTGTCGAAGTTCAACCAAAAGATCATCATAAAACCGTGCAACTTCTGGCTTCCTCACTCCGTTTTCCTTCTTCAAAAGCATGCATTCCCTTATGGCAGAATTATCTCGTAATATTTAACATTCATGCCAAAGGTACAAACAGTATATCAGTTTGGTTGTGTAAGGCGCTAAGATTGCAGAAGTTCCCAAATTAAAGTATTCGACTTAGTTATCCTTGTACTCTTCTCCAAGTATAATTACAATTATCATGTCAAGGAGGATGAGGTGGGCAGGTCATGTAGCACGAATGGGAGAGATGAGGAATGCGTATAGGATATTGGTGGGAAAGCCAGAAGGAAAGAGACCACAGGGAAGACCAAGGCGTAGGTGGGTGGACAATATTAGAATGGATCTTAGAGAGATAGGATGGGATGGTATGGATTGGATAGATCTGGCTCAGGATAGGGACCAGTGGAGGATTCTTGTGAACACGAATGAACCTTCAGGTCCCATAAAATGCTGGGAAATTCTTGAGCAGCTGCAGAATTGGCGGCTCCTCCAGAAAGGCTGAGCTCCATGAGTAAGTAAGTAAGTAAGTAAATCGACGTAGTTATCACCCAGTAATCACTGTAAAGCAATTTTCAAAGTCGAAGCATCCCTTGCTAGTTTATGGTCAACAGGAATGAAATGATGACTACAGCTATCACCCACCGACGAACTATACGCTTAAAGGTACGTAATCCAGACAAAGAAACATATGTGAGATAAGACACTGTGAGGTATATGTCCACTGCTAAGGAACGGTTCGGTGAACACACTTACGTGGAGATAGATTCTTGGAAACCAATCCATCGTTGTGTGATAAACAGACGTTTCCTTGGATACGAGATTGCAAGAAATTTTTTCTGTCGGTCCGTGTGGAGATGGGGTCGAATACTTCCACCGTGGCCCTGCGAGTCTTACGAGGCGACGAAAAGGGAAGTCTCAAATCTGAGAGAGTAAAATATGGCACCCGAGAAAGACTGCGCTGGGAAGGACCAGCAGCATATACAAAAGACAGACCCGACCTCTCGTCAGAGAGGACGCCTCACAAAAACAAGACCGTAACTGATAACTATCTAGTCACGATCTCCAGATGGGGCTCGACACCAAGACTTACTGACTGACCGTCAGTCGCAATGCGACTTTGGCTCTGATTCAGAGCAGAATGGGGCCAGTCGTAGATCAGAGGAGAAGAGAGACTGGGATCAGATCTGAACTGAGTCAGAGTCCACTCAGAATGGAGCGAGTCCTCGGCAGCCAAGGATATTATTAAGACACGTAATGAAGAAACAGGATGGGAGGCTGTAGACTGAATGGACCTGGCATAGGATAGGGTCCAGTTGCAGGTTCTTTTGAACACTTGTAATGCACCTTCGGTTTCCATAAAAAGATTAAATTTCTTGATTAACTGAGCGAGTATCAACCTTTCCTGGAAGTCCCTGCATCGTGCAGTTAAAACTGCAACAATGATTTTATTCAATCATGTTCTAAAAATACCAGACAGAGCATGTCCATCAAACAGAGTCACAATGCCTTCACTAAAACAATGTGGCGTAATTTTTTTTGAAACGTTGTAAGGTATAGGTGAAGATGCAAGTCACGGCGGTGCAGTAGCCAACAACCCACAGACGGCAGTAACAACATTATGCAGCATCATGGTGGCTCCCCCATACATGAGCGGTGAAATCAATCTTAGAGGTGCCAGGTTCACAGTTCAGTCACATGATTTTATTCAACGGTCCAACAGACATGTTTATCGAATATCATACATGCGTAAATAACCTTACACACAACAAAAAGATATACCGATGAAGGAAACTTAAAGATAAGGGAGACCAGGAAGGCACACAAAATTTTCACGGGGAAAACCTCTTCGAAACCGCCGACTTGGACCG